GTGTCATCTTGGTGTTTGTGTCTGTTAACTCTCATTCAGGTTGACATTTGCCTGGTTCTTGGCACAAGAGCATGGCTTTCTGTTCTATTCTGCCCATTTGGGTTTGAGACCCTGGACTTTGTTTGAATGTTTTAGTAGGTCTACTCTGACACCACCCCCATGGGTGAAGGGGGCATGTGGTGGATTTGACGGTTCAGGCTCACCACTGAGCCCCGTTTGAGTACAAGCGGGAGGGAGGAGTGGCTCAGTGCAGCTTCCCACTAGAACACGTGGGCCCCACTGATACTATGGGAGTGGGGGGAGTTGTTCCTCCTGGGTCAGGGTAAAAGTCTAGGCTCCCAACATGGCCTCCACTGACACTATGGGGGTGGGCCTCATTACCATCCTGCAGTGATAGAAGTCCCAAGCTCCCTACTGGGCTAGCTCTGACACCGCTCCAGCAGGGGTTGGTGAGGCCTCATTGCAACAGGCAAAGGAGAAGGTCTAGGCTCCCCACTTGGCCTTTGCTGGTGAGGCTGTGGGGTTGGGGCCATGGGTTTTTCCATGGTGTTTGGATAGAGTAGGGAAGTTACTGTCTGAGACTTCTCCATCTTTCTAGGTTGCCCTGTCCTGATCCTTGGACTAGAGACACCAGGCTTTTAGCCATTGGCTCCTATTGGTGTTTCTGGGGTGCTGGTTTCTCCAGCGCCAAGTATTTGCCCAATATGAGGCAAAAGAAAACCCAGGGAAGTCAATGCTGTGTTATTCCTTGGGTACTGAAGTTTCTTTCCATTCGGTCTTCTCAGCTTTCACAGTAGTTTGATGTTTGTTTTATGCAAGTCCAGGCTGCTCTTAGTGGAGGAATAGGGAGAAGTGCGTCTATTCTTTCTTGTCTCTTCTACTTTGTTTTGAATAGTGAATTTTCTAAAAATGTGGTCCTAGAAAGTAGCTTAGTTTGCAAAATAAAACATAACTTTTATATAATTTTATAAATTACTACTGACTCAGTCAAACCACCGAGGACATGTTCTACAATCAATGGTTTGTGTGTGTCTCCAATTGAATGCTAAGTCCTCAATCTAAGCCATGTCTTAGGTTAAAATAATTCCAGGATTTCCTGATATTGAACCACCTGGAATAAACCTCTCTTAGTCACTGTTAACAGCAGGGTGCACTAGGTTAAGCTGGGGTAACAAATAGCCCCCCATCTTAGGGACTTGTAAGGGTTTATGTGTCTCTTACACTCCATGTCCCACTGTGGGTCAGCTGTCCCAGCCCCCAAGCCCTTGAAGTAGCCACCATCTGGAATATTACCAATCTTAGGGACGAAGGCAAAGTGGACAGTGTGAACCAAGGGCAGGCACTTAAAACTTTTACTCAGAAGTCCTACATGCCACTTCCACTCACAAGCCACACAGTCACACCTAAGTTCAACGAGGCAGGGATGTATAATCCTCTCACAGGAAAGAGCACTGAGAGGGAGAAGCACCAACCCATTTCGTGAAAAATACTACAATATACCACTACGTATCATTGGATTCAGTTCACTAATATTTTATTTTGAATATTTGCATCAACCTTCATAAGGGAGACAGGTCTATAGTTTCTCATTTCATAAAAATAATTTGGAAGTGAAAAATTACTTTGTCATTAAGACTGCAAGGTGACTGATGTGGTAGCTCAAGTTAAAAGATAAGTGTTATAGGTGTATAGTAGGGGGTCTAATTTCTGCCTTGACAGCTTATTATGTAATAATAAAAGGTTAACACACTTCATGTGATCTGATAAATCAATTAAAACATTTCCTTAAAAAAAAATTCCTTTTGGAAATTTCCTCTAAGGGGAAAAAAATTTGGAAGATAATTTAGGAATGAAAAGTACTCTCTCCTGCAAAGTCAGATTTCACTTCTGCACCCAACCCGTGTCTTAGAGGCATGTTTTTAATATTTTCATTTCCTACTTTTCTGCCTTGGATTATGAAGTGGGCGCAGTTTTTCTGTACACATTCCTGACAGTGCTTTCAACTGAGCAACTCTGCCAAAAAGCATGCCTGAACCGGGAGGGCATTACTAAGGAGGCAAGAATCTTCTAGTGGGTGGAGACGAGGTTTTCCTATCACCCTCTCACCTCCTTCTTGACCGCCCCCGTCATTGAGCCTCCTGTGTAAACAGCATCTTTTGTCCAAGCATCCCAATGAGCAGTATAAACACTGTCTCACCTGTAAGGCAAGTCATTGGTAAATATTTATTCATATTTTTCAGATGGACAAACTGAAAATGCCAAAGAGTCAAGTGGCCTAAAGCCACTTCCAAAGCTGCTTGCTTTGGGAAAACCCTTCACAACTGCTGCTTCTTGAGCATTTCCCTGGCCTTGCTGGTGGCCAGAGGACAGAAGGAACTAAGTTCTGGCTGTTTGGTGTATATGTAATTTCAGTTTCATTGTTGCTGTATACAAACTTTACCAAAACTCAGAGTAATAAAACCTTATCAGGTATTAGCAAGTCCTTGGGTTGGTCAATAGGGAATGTTTACAGGCAAGAGGAGGCTAATTCTAGGAAAACTGAATGAAGACGGTAAAATCTGTGACTTACTTGAAAGTCACACAGGTCTTGTCAGTACACATTCAGCACAGTCTCTGAAACCTCGTTAGCAGTAGAATCACGTGCTTGCCCCCAAATCTTTGATGGCCACAAATTGTATGCAAAATGTCAACACTGGCAGTCACACACTGTGGCCAACCTACCTTTCCAGGCCTCTCTTTTACTTTACCTGCGCTCATCTACACGCTGTCCAAACTGGGCTTCTTATTTCTGGGGCACAACTCCCCCCTGCCCGCTCTGGGGCCTCTCTTCATGCTGTGCTTTCCACTTGCAGGGTGCTTCTCCATCATATCTGCTTATCAAAAATCTTGGACTTCAAGGCCCACAGGGACACTACTGCCTCCAGACAGCCTCTTAGATTTCTCCTAACTGATATCTCTATTTTCTACATCATTTTTAGCACCAGAGCTTGAAATTCTTTTGGCACAGTATTATAATACTCTCCACAGCCCCTGCCCATCCACCCAGCACACTAGCTGGTAAGGAACTTGCGGGTAGAGGCCCTGCAGCCTCTTCTATAGTAAAGCACGTAGGAGTCGCGCTACCATTTGTTGGCTGTGATCCCTCTCCCGCAGTCTTTACGTCTACAGTTTGTATAATCTAGGAAACCCCTTTCTCTGGTCTCTGGGCTATCCTGTCTCTTTATGGGATGCACTGGGGGCCCTTCCTCAAAAAGTCACCTTTTCCTCCGATGCATTATCCAAGACATCATTAAGGTAGTTAGTGGAGTCAATGGCTGAGTCACAGTGATTAATGGATCTACAGGAAACAGTGGGCTGCAAGTACACATCACTGCTATCCTCAAAGAACAGGAAAGACAGTGTCTACTGCAATGATCAAGTTCCAGCCTGCTCAGAATCACCCATGAAGGCATTAAGTGCACAGGAAGTAAATGTGAAGAGAAAAAACACCCAAGATAGCGGCTTTCAAATAGAAATCAAGGAGCTATTCACTACATAATACTATTTCCTATCAGGTGGATTAGAAAAGCCTCTTCATTAATTCAAACTCTACACTTATTTTTACTTCAGAACAGATGGCCAACCTGAGCCCTGGTTTTCTATACTTTGGCCATAGCAAAGAAACAAAAAAAATTCAAACACTAAAATGAAGTAGAAGTTGTCAGAGAATAGACAGCAAGCAACACATAAATTCACAACATACACACAATAGGACGGTGTGTAACTTAAAGAGCAAAAGCACAAAACTGTACAGTGCTCTGCCATTTATTTTAAAAGACTGTAGAGATTGGAATATTTATCTAAACACACTGACAAAAGCGCTCTCAGGGGGAGACTTTTCACTGTATAATCTACTCAAAGAACACACAAACATGTTTTTAAAGAAACAACTCCAGAATAGAGAGAACTTGTAACAACTGAAGACCTCATATTCTACCAGCATGTTTAAGCTCATTTTTTTCTTTTTTTCTGAGAGGCTTCTCTTCACTGAATATTAAGAATGTAGGAAGAGAGCTCATGGCTGTCCTTCACTGTGGACAACTACAATGGCATTAAGCCTGCTAATGCTAAGAGGGTTAAACTGGCCTTTTCAAAGCACAGATACCAGATTTCTGTTTTTGTAGGCTCTGGTGCCCAGAAGGAAGTTCTTTTGCTTTATAATATGTTTCCTTATAAGACTAATAAAACCTAAGGATACGATTATCTAACATGCAGTTAAGTTGTTTGGAAAGCAGATAGATAAGAACCTGTTAGCTTTTTCCTTTCCTTCCCTTTTCCTTCTTTTTTTTTTTTTTTTTTTTTTCTCTCTCTCTCCTGAGATGGAGTTTTGCTCTTGTTGCCCAGGCTGGAGTGCAATGGTGAAATCTTGGCTCACTGCAGCCTCTGCCTCCTGGATTCAAGCAATTCTCCTGCCTCAGCCTCCCAAGTAGCTGGGATTACAGGCACCTGCCACCACACTCAGCTAATTTTTTTGTATTTTCAGTAGAGACGAGATTTCACCATGTTGGCCAGGCCTCCTGACCTCAGGTGATCCGCCTGCCTCGGCCTCCCAAAGTGCTGGGATTATAGGCACGAGCCACCACGCCCAGCCAGATGCTGTTACCTTCAAACTAACTTTCCTAAGTTAACTTTATGTATATATGTACACACATAAATTTTCTAAGCTTTCAAAATGTTTGGAATAAAAATTATTTTGCAAATCTTCAACTGGGCAGATGGTTGGTATCTGAAATAGAAATAAATGCAAACAAAATATTCCAAAGTGATGGAGAATGTCCACAAGCTACTTAACAACATGAATTCAAGGTACAGTGAAAAACCAAACTGGTCTTCCTCATCATTCTCATGTCAATAATTTAGAAAAAATCCCTTCAGTACTACTGAGCTTCAGGCTTTGTAATGAAGACTGAAAATTCCAGGGGAAAGGAAGAGGAAGAGAAAGGAAAGAAATGAGAACCAGCAAAGATCAACAAACATTTTATTAATTCTGATTCCTTTTATCATTTGCTTTTTTATACAAAGCACTTTCAAATCAATTATCTTAAATTTGTAATAGGAGTTTCTTTCGGATTCAGTTTAAAAATGACAAATAGCATTCGTTGTGCCCAAGTTGGAATTATACCAAAATTACCATGTGCTGGCACATACAATCATCCCGCTGGTGGCTGGAAAACTGGGTTACAGGAGTGTCTGCCACTCAGATGGGCCACCACCCCAGTGGGCGTATAGTAGAGATGAGGGAAGGATGGACTAGAAGCACGCTGGGTCTGCTGGGTCTTCTGGGTTGTCTCTACTCGTTTTTCACTTCATCACCGTTTTCCCCACTGAGCTTGAACACAGGAATCTGCTGACCATCCTTGAGCTCTAAAAAGACCTCGTCAAGGTGCCACCTGAGAGAAACCAGAAGTACAGTATCTCTAATCTATGAACACTGAGGCAACGGCCATAGTCAAAAAAAGGGGCGCAGAAAGCAGCTGTTTTGAATAATGCCTTAAATTTTTGTAAACATTTTGTGTGAGTGCTGTGTCAACACAATTCGTAACATTCTACCATGGGCTCTCATTATTTAACTAGCTTCGACTTCAAGGCAGGCTTAACAATGACAGGCGAATGGAAGGGACACCAGGAAGGAGAAGGAGCAGTTTATTTCTCATTTCCTAATTCACACTGACCTTCAGTTCCTGGCATGGAATCCAACCAGCTCGTGCACTAATCCCAGGCTCAGAGGTCAGTGAGCCCAGGGTGAGCTAGGTGGGCCCTCCTGCTCCTTTTGTCCTTGGGAATTAAAACACAGCCTGGCTAAACAGCAAGCATCTATGAGAGAGGCTTCCCGTGGGGGAAGTGAGTGGATGTAGCTACTGGCAACCAGACAAGCAAAGCCAATTAAGGGGTGGAGAGCTTATGCAAAGAATGTGATGAATAAATTCTGGAACAAGAATCCATGCCCTTTATTCATTTGTAACAATCGAGGCAGTGAAGTGAGAAGCTGTAACATAGCATCAAATTATGACAGACCTAGATCACTATAACTGGAAAGTTTTACGAATTCAACGGCATAAGGAGAGGGCAATTCAGTAGACTGTATGGATAAACTGGACTCAGCTAAGAGCCACAGTACTGGCTTGCTGCCCAGGCCACGAAGCTTTCAGCTTCAAGCTTGAAAAACAGTTCTTCCTATGCCCACAGCAATTTACCAACAAATGAAAACAGAGTCGGGGTTGCTTCCATCAGGAAGTCCTCCTCCCACCCCCCGGACTGCCGTCACCTTCCCAGGATACCTCTGAAAGGGGCCACCTCTGGAGGAGCGGACGTAGAGAAGGCCCTCTGACTTGGATCCAGAGACAGGAATCTTCAACTGTGGTATAAAATGACAGAAAGGAGAGATGTAATTGGATACATTATTGTCATTTCAAAAGATGATGACAAAATGATGCTTTCTAGAGCTAAGCCTATAAAATCCAGTGATTCTCCACAGAAGTGAGTTGTTTTCTAACAGCCCAGCTGGAGAATCCACTTGATTTTCCAAATGTCCTGCCCCTCTTTGGTTGGCTGGTAAGGTCAATGGCAGTCTTTGCATTTGGCAAGGAGGCCTCCTATGATCCTACTTCCAATGATCGCTCAAAAGTCCACTGTTAAAAAGGAGCAAACTCCTGACACACGCAGCAACATGGATGAGTATCAAAAACACGCCAAGTCAAAGGGCTTTACACAGGAGGAGTATATAACTATTTATTTTAATTCTAGAACAGGCTAAACTATGCTGGAAACCTGTTATTTTGATGGATTACAACGTAATTTTCAAACATAAAAAAAAAAAAAAACAAAAGTGACTGCCTCTGGTAGAGCTGGAAGATGTGAGAAGGGACCCACTGGGTAGGAAACGAGGGAATTCAGGTGCTGGGAGCAATCTACATCTAGATAACGGCTTGAGTGACATGACTGGGGGTATTTGTTAAAACTCATCAGATAGGACACTTGGATTTGTGCCTTTCACAGAATGTAAATTTTACCTCAAAAAAAAAAAAAAAAAAAAAAAAGGCACCATAACAAATATTAAACTCCACTTAATGATGTACGTGCTTACATGTATAATGTTTGAAAATTACTTTGTAATCCATCAAAATAACACTATAGACTCATGGAAACAGAGCAAAATGCTAACTGTAGAATCCAGGTACCAGCTATAGGTGCTCACAGTATAAATTCTTTTATCTTTTTTGTACATTTGAAATTGTTCATAATAAAATACCAAAAGAAAATTCACTGTTTTAAAGAGGAACCTATTGCCAGCAAATTGGTACATATTTTGACCTGGACCCTAAAGAACAGGCTTTAAGGAAAATATAATACATGAAGGCTTGTCTGGGAAAGACGACACGGAGTCCTGGGTTTCTCCTTCATCCCCAGCACCACAGGCTGGGTTCACACCACAGGGTGCTGCCAGGTGCTGCCATGCCCGTGCCCAGGCAGTCGGCCTGAGAGCCCCTAAGCAGTTGTTTGATTACACTCCAATTTAGAAAAAAAAAAAATAGTGAATGCGATGTTTTTGGTTTCTCACAAAAACCAAAGAAGCTATGAGCCTCGCGAAGGAGACACAGGCACAGTAATAAGGAAGCCCGTCATGAGACAGGCACCTCCCAGAGTGCCTTCCCGTGTCCTCGGTAATGGCCAAAGATACCTCCCGGAGCGAGGGCAGGGTGGCGGTGGGAGCGGGGAGTATCCCACCCATTCCAAATTGCCACCAAGAGAAGAAACTACTGAGGTACACATTTGTGCTTTCCAAAACTCTTTCTTTCCTTTAAACACACCTGAAGGAAGGCACAGGATTTGGAACATGGCTCCATAACTCAGGTGAATAGGCAGTCAACTAGTCACACTTCAAGAACAAATCTTTAGCCAGGCATGGTGGCTTCCGCCTGTAATCCTAGCACTTTGGGAGGCCAAGGCGGGTGGATCACTTGAGGCCAGGAGTTCAAGATCAGCCTGGGCAATATGGCAAAACCCCATCTCTACTAGAAATACAAACAGCCAGGTGTGGTGGTGCGCACCTATAGTCCCAGCTACTCAGGAGGCTGAGGCAGGAGAATCGCTTGAACCTGAGAGGTGGAGGCTGCAGTGTGCCGAGATCACACCACTGCACTCCAGCCTGGGTAACAGAGCAAGGCTCCATCTCAAGAAAAAATAAAAAATAAAAACAAATCTTCAGAGTCCCACTGTTTGAGTCAAGCTAAAGCTTTTCTCCAGAGATTATAGAATCAAGCAACAGAGTATACACTGAGCATCTCTGGATGCTTTAAGGAAAAAAAAAAAAAAAAAGGGAAGGAGAAAGAAATGGGCAGAAGCAAGAAGGATTTTGAAGAACAGCAAACTCTGAGGGGCCAATGTCTGAACTGTGCGCAGCTGTGCTTCCGTGTGTAGATGTGACACTTTACAGGTTGGTTCCTTCACCAGCCCGACCTTGCCAAAGATTAAAGCAGGAGTTCTGGTACAGCGGAAGTTGGTCACTGGTGACTATTTCACACACACACTCTAGAAAAAATCCCAATGTATGACAATTACTTCATGAACAACTGAAACATCTCACCTCTGGAAAAACTGTAAGAAGTGCAAATAAAGGAATTTGGGATAATAGGGCATATGCTGTATACAAGCATCCTTACAGTTGATTATAAAGAAAGTAAGGACCCTGACAGAATGTCAAAAATTGTCCACAAATTGGAAGGCATGCGCTGAGGCTCCGGGTGGCTGTGATGCAGCAGACTCTGAACTCCTGTCACTGCGGAGTCACAGCATTTGGCAGCAGTAGAAGCCAGAACCTAGCACCACAGCCAACATAGTCACAGCATGGCCAAGGCCCCAGGGATGTGGGGAAGCCCAGGAAGGCGCCCTCTCAGCACCACTGGGGCCAAAGTGAAAGCTGGACAGAACAAAGCTCCCACCAAAACAACCATGGCCTCACCCTACTCTCACTGGGGTTCCTGGAGCACCAGATCATGGATGCTGCATCAACCAGCCCCAGCAAAGGCGTCTTTGGCACCCACTTCCTCAGCGCTACAGCTGGGCTCTGTGCTCTGTGCTGAGAGAAATGCAACAGCCAGACCCACCTGCTGGCTTCTCCACGTTCTCAGGATTGCTGGGGTCTAGCCAAGTGACCAAAGACAAGGAAGCACAGACGGGCTCCGCCACACCATGGGAGCAATCCAGTGGCCTGGCACAGAGTGAGCACTCCACACATGCCCAGCCCTTCCCTGTGCTCCTCCTACGTGTCCTCTCTCACGCAGTGTCGCCGCCGTCCTTCCACTCACATCCATGCTGGACACTGGAGCATCACCTCCGACCCACCCACTCCTGATACATGACTGTTACCAAGTTCTGTCACCTGGATGCCATGATGCCTTCACATCCATGGACCACACCTCTGGTTCATGCTCTCACCACTGCACACCAGTGTGGCTGCGTCTCTCTCCTAAAGGTGGCTCACTGTAGCCAGTCCCTGGACATCGCCAATCTACACAAACATACCTTCTTTTAAAACCGAGTATTTTAATCAGAATACCAGAGCATGAATTGCTTTTGTAGTCCGAAAAAAGTCTCATTAGAGCTAGGTCCATTAAGAACATACTAAAAAAACCAAAAAATAATGTAGGTCAGATCACCTCACTCTTATCCTTCCAATACTTTACCGGCTTCTGCTGCTAGAGTCAAGCACACACCTTCCAAGATGACACTGTGGCCCCCTGGTGGCCGCGGCCTCTCCTACCTGCCCATACCCACCTCGCCCACCTGTGCCTCCACTGCCATATCACACTGACAGGGGACACAGTGACGACCTTCCCGGGGCATGCTGCTCCTCAGCCGGGTGTTCCTCTCCACCGTTCAAAGTCCTCACGGCTGTCTCCCAGGCCTCCAGCCACTCCCCCTAGGCCTGCATAACAGTGACAGGGCTTGCATCACCCTGTCTTACTCAGGAATTTTCAACTATAAAACCCCGAAAGCCTTCTGCACCTCTATTCCCCACATAGCTTAGAATCATTCCTCAAACCAGGGTATATACTCAAAATATGTTTGTTAAACAGAAGAACAAATGCATTTTACATGCAAGTGAGTGTGATCAAGTACAAAAAGGTAAGTTACAGCTAAAAAAAAATAGGTTGGTATACTGTGGAAGCAATGTAAATACACACACTTTAAAAATCAAAGTTTAAAGAGTTGGTTACATTTGAATGAGCACTGACTGGATACAGATGCTTTCTCATTTTTTTTTATTTTAGAGACAGTTTCACTCTGTCACCCAAGGTGGAGTGCAGTGACATGATCATAGCTCACTGCAGCCTCCAACTCCTGAGTTCAAGTGATCCTCCTGCTTCAGCCTCCTGGGTACCTGGGATTATAGGTGTGCACTATCATACCTGGCTAAATGATAGATAGATAGATAGATAGATAGATAGATAGATAGATAGGCAGACTAAATATTAGCTAGATAAGGGAATAAACTGGCTAAATAGTAGATAGATAGATAGATAGATAGATAGATAGATAGATAGATAGATAGACTAAAAAAAGATGAATAGATAGATAGATAGATAGATAGATAGATAGATAGATAATTGATTGATAGACAGATAGACAGATAGATAGGCAGGCAGAGAGATAGAGAGAGATAGAGACAGAACCTTGCTGTATTTGCCCAGGCTGAAGTCTCTCAAACTCCCGGGGCTCAAGCAATCCTCTTACCTCAGCCTCCCAAAGTGCTGAGAGCTATCAAAGCCAACATGGTGTAAACCACCACTGGTCATTTCTCTACTACCTTCAATTCAAGATGGTAGTAGCATACCACTGCATTCCCTGCCACATCACTAAATGATAGATAGATAGATAGATAGATAGATAGATAGATAGATAGATAGGCAGACTAAATGATAGATAGATAGAGATAAACTGGCTAAATGATAGATAGATAGATAGATAGATAGATAGATAGATAGATAGATAATTGATTGATAGACAGATAGACAGATAGATAGGCAGGCAGAGAGATAGAGAGATAGAGACAGGGCCTTGCTGTGTTGCCCAGGCTGGTCTCAAACTCCAGGGCTCAAGCAATCCTCTTACCTCAGCCTCCCAAAGTGCTGAGAGCTATCAAAGCCAACATGGTAGCAAACCACCACTGGTCATTTCTCTACTACCTTCAATTCAAGATGGTAGTAGCATACCACTGCATTCCCTGCCACATCAATTCCCCAGAATGGAAGAAAAGCATATAGAAATATATCTATAATATAAAATATATTTTATATACACATTAAAATCCATAATAAAAAAACTTTTTTTAAAGGTGCTAAACCTAGCTTTACTTAGTGGATTTTCCCATCCCAAATCCTTAACTCCAAGACTTTCCAGGAGACAGTAGACTCTCCTCTCCTTCAGCAGGCACCAGCCTGCAGTTCGCAGGGAAAGCACATTACCTTGGCATCAGCAATGTCCACGAAGTTTTCCCTGTCGGTGAGCTCGAGATAATGGATGTTGAGAGGAGGGCCCAGAGCTTCCTGTGCCTCGGGATGGCTCTGCAGCTGCTCCATTGCCAACTTGTAATATAAACTCCTGGAATGAAACTCTAAGGACGAAAGACACACTTATTTTCCTTGTTGAACTTGGTCAGGTAGAATCTACTACAAAGAAAATTAAATAATACAATTGATGTACAGGGTAGAAACAGAAACATGAAATTTGTGGATGGACGAATAATTAGGACCATCTATCTACTCTAAACTGTCCATTTTACAGACTCAAAAACCAAAGCACTGGCAGGCAGTGTTTTGCAAGGATGTGCAGATGACCTTAGGCCTTGACCTCATGCAGACCCTTTCTGCTTCACCTCATTTCTACCCTCACTCATTGCCTTATTTCTACACCTAAGGGGTTTGATCAGCTCTTCCCTAAGTTTCCTCTCAAGTCTCTAAGTTTCCTCTAAAGTCCTATGATTCCATGACTTGTTCAAAGTGACACAGCTGGTCCACGGCAAAGCCGAGGCCAGAAGCCATGACACCTGACTTCTCAACATTGCCTATTCCACTAACATGAGACGTAAAATAGGCTACAACATTAACAAAACCCTCAGGCCAAGAAACAGGATATGAGAATGTTCACTCATCGACATTTAAGCAAACATTTCAAGTCAAACTGCTCTCAGTCTCAGGAATCATTCTGAGCCCACAGGCTACCTGGGAACTCCGGGCAGCACCTCCCAGAAGCTGTAAGTTCTAATAATCAGCTGCCCGAAGGAGGGAGCACAGGCAAGCTTCCCAAGCAGGCTGTTCAGTTTGGCCACAGAAAGTGCTTCCCTTCTGAAGGTCCCATCACACTAATGAAGGGAAAGGTGACCTGACCCTGGAGAGGCCAAGGGAATCCTCGGCTGCTTCCCAGGAACAGGGATACAGGGAATACCACAGGAATGAACACGGTGCCGGCCATGATAGGAAAAGAAGGGACAGAAGCAGAGTCCAGACAGGTAATCTTTATTGAGTGATTTCTATGGCCAGGCACTGTTCTCAATATTTCACACATCTCACAATGTTCAATAGCTCTCGTGTTGTAAGATTCAATTCTCACCTCATGCACAGGCACTAACATTACCACACATCACACCAATAAGGTAACTAATGCCCAGAAAGGTGATGGACTCCCCCATAAGGCCACATAGCTGGTCAAGAGCTGGAGCCAAGATTCAACCATTCAACCCAGGCAGTCGGCTGCAGTGCCCAGGTCTCACCAACTTAGCAGCCTCCTAAGGGAAAAAGGCTGTCACACCAGAAGGCTGAACCCTGACCCAAAAATGCACCCATTCCTCTCATGTCCTGCCCCTGTCCTTTGGCAGAGGGAAGAGGAGGCCAAATTATTCAGTCTGAATCATTCCTGGGAATGCTCATCTCAAGCCCCCTCCAGACTCAGCAACTCCACCAACTCTGCAGGAAGGTGCAGGAAGGCTGCAGAGGACACTGGAGCCTGTTTGCTTGTCTGCTGGTGACACTCACATCCTGGGAAGAAGTGAAAATGTTGCAGAGTGGATGAAGAGCCAAGCTGGGTGGGGATAAAGGAGCCTTAAAAAAGTCAGTCTGGAAAAAACTGCTGCCGCTTTGCCACCAGTAGCATTAAAATAACCTTAAATGTCCTGGCTGCTGACAGTAATTGTGGCCTGTCTTTACAAATTCAAATTTGAGTGCAGTGGAGCTGGAAGCTGCATGTGTCGGGATTTTGCCATCGTGGTCTCTGCTTTTATTTTCTGCCCCTGTCAGAGTCCCTTGCTTGTGGTCCCTCCTCCATTAAATCAACAGCAGAGAATGAAAGTGCAACAAAGGCTGACAACACTGGATGCATACTCACAGCTTTCCCCACCTGTGAACCATCTGGTATTCCCCTTCCCTCTGCCCTTTCTTTATATAATCTCAGAATCTTGATGGAGCCACTGTGTGTGCACTGGACTGAAAGCTCATCATGCTTTGCTAGGCTTCTTATGCAAATGAGTCCTGGTCCTTTTATTTGTACTCGTTGCTCCTGGAAAAACTGAGATTACAGGATACAGAGGAAGCTACAGCCAATGAAATGGTGGACTAGCCTTTAAAATCACCCTCTCCTCCTTCTCTAATCTAAAGAAAGCATCTCAAGTATTTCCTCTGATGGAGGAGCAGGAGCAGGAGCAGGATTGCTAGGAGGAGGTCAGGCCGCAGGCGGCTTGCAGGATACTTACTTTGTATGAGGTAATACACAAGGGCAAAGCCCCCAGCACTGAACACACCGCTGAAAAGGACGTTTATTCCCAGACGAATTGACTGCCTGCTTCCTGGATACTTAAAAACAAAAGATACAAATTTATTGTAGGATTCCCTGTTTTGTGCCAAGGGGATTTGCCTGGTGTGGGCCCCTCAAGGAAAGAAGCATTAAGGAAGTCAGCAAGGAGGCCAGACCGCCCTCCCTCATTTGCTTCCTTTCCAAATGCCAGGGTTGGTTCTGGAGCCAAACTGAGTGCCCTTCTGAGGGTGCCCTCTCGAGAGTGGCCCATGTCCAGGACCCATGCTGTGGGGGCCCTGCCGCCCCCAGCCGGCCCAGCACAGAGCAAGCATTCAGCCCACCTCCCTGACAGACAGAGCCCAGACTGTGTGCCAAGCCCCGCGTGGCCAGGAAGCACAACCACTTTGTCTCAGGCCAACTGGTAAACAGGAAGCTTATCCTTTGTGGCAATGGCTGGTCCTTATAAGCCTGCAAATGGACTGGAGCGGTCACTGGCTCCTTTCTTTCATATTTTGAAAAATGCCCCACCCTTGGGATGAGGAAACCTTGGTTATGACTTTCAGGCTGAATGAACAGATGGAGGGATGCCAGCTCAGCAAATGCAGCACACCACATCCACCCTGGCTTTAGCTCCTGTCCCCTGAAGGCCTGGGTGGGGCTGGGAGCAGCAGTGGACTCCCTGGAGCCAACTCTCCTCCTTCCTGGTGGCCATTTAACCACTGCTCACAGCGGCCTGAGGCTTTCTGAAAAGTGTAAGATACCTGACCATAAAACAGTAGGATGTGGGCTATAGGAGTAGGATAGGAAAGGACAGGAGAGGGGGTCACAATTCAAATGCCCACAGGGCCAAACAGGTCACATAAAAGACAGCAGACACTGCAAAGACAAGGACGTAAGGCCCAGCCAAGAAGACAGCTTCAACCTGGCTCCTGCTGACTGTGGCTATGTGGCCCCAGTCTCAGTGGATCTTTCCATTTTTCAAGAGGGGTCAGAAATCTGATTTTTTTTTTTTTTTTAATGTGAAATTGCCTGGATTCTAAATGCTGACAACCAATTTTTTAAAATTGCTAACAAAATGCATTTGTGAATCAAATTATTTCTGTGGGTTTTCAGTTTGCTTTGACCATCAGCACATCCCAACCCTAAGTGAGATTTAGGTAAATTCCTGTCTGTCTTTGCTGACATTTCTCCAAAACGAATAGAGATTTTGGATAGACATGGAAATCCCGGTTTTAGATAAAGGAAAAAACTCCGTTAAGTGTCTGTGTCCCTACTTGAAGATTTAACCTTAGATTTTAATTGTGCTCCTTTCACAAAACAAAGCCTCTGATGTGTCCTAAAGGGGTCAAAGGTAACGCAGTGCAGAAAAGTTAGGTATAATGCGAGTTGCTTTGCTGGCTGGAACACATTCTCACCATCTGCTTCTCCACCTTCCAGAACACAGAGTAACAACTAATTGTCTACCCATCATTTCTGAAAACTTGAATGTAAAGGAATCCAGAGAAACCCTGTTGGAGGAAGTTCCTCAGGGAGACATTCTTTCTGAGAACTAGTAACTAAACATACCCTTGAATCAGGCTACGGGTGACCAGTTCTATACTAAAACATTTAATCCAGGTTTATGTATATAAAGGGCTTTGATCAATTTAACAAATTAAGGAGGGTGACATTTTAGATCATCTTTGTATTATCTGCTTATATGCTGTTTTGTTCAACTAAGAAAAGGCTGTTGAAACCACAAACAAATGTACAGCAACTGCTGTGAGAGTTCTAGCTAGTGCCCTATAATATGTAAGAGTATCAAAATGAGTGTAAAGTCAATTACAGTAATGTGATCTGGGAAAAGCCATTTAGTTCTCATAATGAAAATGGTTAGAGCATCTCTGAAGAATGTATTAGTCAGATCTTGCTTAATTTGAAGAGCGCTCAACAGGGTGAGGCAGCCAGACTGGGTTATGCAGACGTTCCCAGAGTGTTACAGCTTCCAGCGCCAGCATGACACACGAGAGAAAGACAAAGCCGGAAACAATGCAGAAAATGCCCCTCCCATCCCTCCTGTGAAGTTAAAGCACAAGTAAACCCTAAAGACCAGGAGAAGCCCGTAACTATTCAGGGAGTGACTTTCTTCCATTGTCTAACTCGAGAATACCCTGGCATGTTCTAGTGGGGAACTTGGCCCTGGAACATTCCATTACCTTTTGCCACATCATAGCACAACTCTTCAAAATCAGCAAAGGCAAGTTGTCCTGCAATTAGAAAAGATTTTACATTAAAATCATTTTTTAAAGCCCAATTCTCTCTAGTCTCATACAGCCAAGATTTATTACCAACCCAAGCTTTAGAACATGAACAAGAAGTTAAATTTAAACTCTAAAACAAGCCTTGCCTGAGAAAGGCCCTGGTTTTTCCCCCTTCTGCCAAATTAGGAAGAAAAAACAAAGCCTATGGGTTTCCTGTCTGTGTCCTATGTACTTTTTGTTACAGCAACCAAAGAACCGGTGTGCACAAGGGAGAACCGCAGGTAGCAATTGCTTTGACCACAGCACAAACACGGGGCCAATCAGCAGGTGGCTGGACCCGCAGAAGCAAGATGCTAGCAATAAAAGCTGTACATGACAGAGTGAAAACAGCACTTCACAGTTAAAAAGAAACCATAGTACGGTAAACCCATATATGAACTTTAACAATATTGATAATACCTAACACTTCTCTTACTATTATGTATCTTGTACTATTCTCAGCACTTTACATAATTCATTAATTCTCACAAGCCTTTGCAGTAGGAACTATTATCATCACCCTCATTTTACAGATGAGTAAACTGAGGCACAGAGAGGTTAGGTAATATGCCCAAATGTGCACTAATAAGTAAGTGGTAGAACGGGGATTCAAACTCATGGAGTCTAGCTCCAGCATCTGCTCTTTCAACCACTGTGGTACACCAGCTTTAAGATATCTAATTAAAGCAATATTGAAACGTGAAAACAGTGTCTCTGAGCTAAAATATATTCTTACTGTTCAGTGTAAAAGTCCTTGGCAGGCATGCCTTTCCTGCTATTTTCCCAGACAAGGTAGATATACATTTGTACCTTCATTCCTTCTTTTGTTTAGCAAACAGTTACTGAGGGTCTGATCTGGTCAGAAAGTTAAGAATATAAAAACAGTATCAATATATAAGGAATTTCCCTTAGTCCTGAAGGGAATATAGACAATTAAACAAATAATGATAACATAGATCTATCACATACAACTGCACAGCTATGCACTGCACAACGCTTGCAGGGCACTATGCACATTAGAGACATCAAAGATTTCTGTCTTTATTAAGACGGTTTGCCAACAGTTGGAAGTACTATGAAGTATCTTGAAGAAGGGGTAGGTGTCTTTTTCCAACTTGCACAAAGGTGCCTTCGGGCTAGCAGTAGCCTGGTTAGTGCAACCAGATATATGCACCAAGAGAGGAAGTAACACTCAGGAAGTGGTCGACCCTGCTGCAGGGAATCAGGGGAGGTTTCACAGAAGTTTACCGAGAAGAGAAATGTGAAAGAGTAGGAGAACAGCTTCAGATCCAGGAAATGACAAACAAAGGCAGAATGGGCAGAAACAAGAACTGCTGAAGTGTAAAGTGCAGGAGAGGAGCCACAGGAAACAGGTCCGGAAATGCAGGGCGGCAGCATAGGGGGTGATTACTGTTAAGAAAGACCCTCGACCCTGAGCTGTCGGACTCTGCAGATGAGGGGCTACAGAAAAATCTCTCTGGGACAGAGGGGTGGGCAGATGTGGAGAGAGAAGGCAATGCAGCAGTACTGCCAGAGGACAGCAGAGCCCAGAGCTAAGACCAAGGTAGCAAGTGTGCTGCAAAACGGTGGTTTCTTAAAATATTTAGGATGGGCCGGGCGCGGTGGCTCAAGCCTGTAATCCCAGCACTTTGGGAGGCCGAGACGGGCGGATCACGAGGTCAGGAGATCGAGACCATCCTGGCTAACATGGTGAAACCCAATCTCTACTAAAAATACAAAAAACTAGCCGGGCGAGGTGGCGGGCGCCTGTAGTCCCAGCTACTTGGGAGGCTGAGGCAGGAGAATGGCATAAACCCGGGAGGCGGAACTTGCAGTGAGCTGAGATCTGGTGACTGCACTCCAACCTGGGCGACAGAGCGAGACTCCGTCTCAAAAAAAAAAAATATTTAGGACGGGTCTTATTTATTTATTTACTTATTTTTATACTTGCTCATTCCAAAAAGGATGATGGAGCTAACAAAGATACATACTTTAGAAGAGAAGCAAACAGATAGACGAGGAAATGAAGATAAATGAAAAATAATATTCAGAAAAGAAATAAGGCTGAAATAAAGTTAGAGCACAATAGGACATACTGTCATTCACTAGGCATTTCCTCAAGGTGCCACGTATTTGACACGGCTTCCTATCTGCTCAGCAGACAGGGAAGCTTGAGGAGCTACAAGGTCCAGAGTGTCCGTGGGGAAAGGCAAATCTACCACTGAATCAGAAGACAACAGCTGCTAAGAATACATGAAGCCTCAGAAAGCTCTCGCCAAGACTCAGAGATACTCTCAAGTGACTGGTGTCGCAAACATCCTGAGAATTAAAAACAAGATCACAAAAATAAAAAGTTCCCAACTACCAAATGACTATGTTTTATAACATCCAACTATGAAAGCCACATTCATACTCCCCCACCACCAAAAAAAACAAAGCAAAAAAACAGAAGAATTATTTTACAAGCAGTCAAAAGAGTGAGGACTCAAGAGTGCTTAGGCAGTGAGGATCAACCAAGTCTCCCCAGAGCCCTTCCACGTCAAAGAAGGGGTTGGGGTGCGAGTGGTGGGCAGGAAATGGGTTCAGGAGTGAGTCGGGGGTAGCAAGAGCTCCTTTTCAACCAGCTTCAGTTTACCTGCCCCTTCAGCTGCCTTTTGAAGAGTGTTAAGTATTCCCTGACCTCACAAAAAAACAAAAATTCAAAAAGGCACTGTAGAGGAATAGAGATGGATTTCAGGCTAACTGCAGGAATGTTACCTCTTAGAACTAGTCTTCTAGAAAGAAGCAAAAATTTAAAAATGTGATGTGCCATTCTCTGCAATAAACTCAAGTTCAACCAGTCTACTATGTTGCCAAATAAGGGCAGATTTATTTGCTTAACAGTTCGCCAAAAGGCAAGGGTTGCATCTGTATTGGAAATCAAGGAACTTGTTAGCCACAGGAAGGTGGCACAAAGCACTGGCCAAGGTCTCTCAGGAAAGCAGTCTTAGCTCTGCTCTGATACACAAAGGGGTGACTTTGGCCTCCAAAGGCAAATAGTTTATAAACCTTTTCCAAAGTACTAAACCCTTTCTAGAGCCAAAGAACAGTCTGCTAAACAGATGCAGCAGACGCTCGAGCTGGCACAGGCTGGAGGATCCTGTCAGCCTCCCTTCAGCCAGGACCAGAGGAAGCATCACCAGGGGGATCAATAGAACAGCCAGCGAGTTCAAGCCATAGACAGGATCCCACAAGGGAAGGGTGGAAGCAGGCAGGTGGTGCAACTTCAAGCTGGGAAGTACACCAGAATCACAGGAAGAGCTTAAAAAAAAAAAAAAAAAGGCCAGGTGCGGTGGCTCATGCCTGTAATCCCCACCTTTCAGGAGGCCAAGGCAGGAAGATCACTTGAGCCCAGGAGTTCAAGACCAGCCTGGGTAATATGGCGGAACCCAATCTTTACAAAAAATACAAAAATCAGTCAGGTGTAGTGGCGTGCACCTGTGGTCCCAGCTACTCAGGAGGCTGAGGCAGGAGGATGGCTTGAGCCCAGGAGGTGGAGGTCGCCATGAGCCGAGACCATGCCGCTGCACTCCAGCCTGGATGACAAAGCAAGACCCTGTTTCAAAACAAACAAGGCAGATGTCCAGGCCACACCCAGATCAATTAAAATAGAATTGACAGGGGCAAGACCCAGGCAATGGTGGTTTTTAACCTTCTCAAGTAATCGCAATATGCAGCCGGGCTTGGGAACCAGTGGTATGCTGGGAATAAAGCACATAAAGCAGCATTACGGGTAGCTAAAGCAGGAGCAGGGTCAAAAGCCCGGCTATGAACACAGGCCATGTGACATTCCCAGCAGGCCTATTAACACCCAGAGTCCTCTAAAGCAGCGCTTTGCCAAGCGTAACCTATTCACTTCACCTCTGTTCCTCTGGGTAACATGGCTGGCCTGGCTTGTCCTACATCTGGGTAACTACTATGGGCCAGGCACCATGCAGGATGTTTTATATGCACTACTCCTATTTCTTAAAACAATCATAAAAGGTAGATATTATTTTTGCCTTTCTGAACTAAAAAAAAAAAAGCCTTAAGAAAGGTTCTGAAACTTGCTTATGGTCATGCAGCTATTCCCTGTCAGAACTATTACATGCATCTGACTCCAGAGGCCATGGTTTCTCCACTGAGCCAAGACCATGGATTTCAGAACAATCAGCTTTTCACACAGGTAGGATGTGCTTTCCAAAAGCCATTTCCATCTGCCAGAAGCAAATCACTGCTACACTGGGAAAGTTTTAATCAATATATCTCCAAGTTATAATTTAAGGGAACAAGGTAAAACAAAGAGATACAAAATCACTTAGTGACTACTGGGAGGAAATGGAAAGATGGTTCCTCCCTATTGTTGAATGGGCACGGCTCATTGCTACTGTCACCCCGCAGATTACATATTGTTCAGCCTTTAAAAATCAAAAAATTGTCAAGGGCCATGGTGGAGGGGGTTGGGGGGGGCCAGAAAGATAGTACAGAGAATTATGCTTAAGACAATACAAATTAAAAAAGTAACACAATATAAATTGAAATGAAAAAGAATAAGAAACAAAACCCAAAAGGCCGAAAATAAAGATTAAAAATTTGGCATTTAAGAAGAAGTATGAATGGCAAAAACAAAAGAAGATTAAACTTTTTTGAAGAATGAAATGTCTCAAATGTAAGGTAAGGGAGACAAAAGGACAGTACCAAAAAACATGATAAAGCATGCGAGTAAACATGATAAAAGTTTTAAGTAAAAGACTATGAAATTAAGCATTTTAAAAATTAAGCATACAAATGTTAGTGCTGACTTTTTAACCTCATTTTGGCTCTGAAATCATGGAATAACTTGAATGCTTATAGAGGAAAGGCTTACTGTAACCTTTTATTCTTAATCACGAGGCAAGCTCCCTTTGTTGAGCTGAGTTAAGGATGTTAATAAAAGGCTGTCCAATACCTTTCTACAGGTTGGCGCAAAACTAATTGCAGTTTTCGCCATTGAAAGTACTGGCGAAAACCACAATTACTTTTGTGCCAACCTAATATCAGAGATGTCTGTTACTCATCCCATGGAAACCAAGACTGCCTGGAGAGAGGGTCCCTGTGCCAATGGGAAGGATTAACAATTTTTTAAAGATTAATAAACTGTAAGATGAAGCAAGATGCCATTTAGTTTAAGAGGGCATCAAGCTACCATTTCCTGATATGACTTCACAAATTCCATTTAAAATACCTATAAAGATACACACAAGAAAAGACAGAAAGTAGGGCCTGCTTGGAACCATAACAAGTTGCAAAAGTCTAAGGAAATTTCCACTAACCACCAATGTAACTGGAGAGAGAAAGAGAAACATGTCCATGGACAAATGAACCCTGGCACAGCTGGCCAGAAAGTATGTGGGGAAACGGTTTGGCCCTTCACCTCTCTCCACACCCAGCTCAAAGTTTCTCAGTTTGTAGCAATCAGGAAACAGGCCGGCCAGCCCCAAACTGGGTATGAATCCTGCTTCCAGAGACAGCCACTGTCATTTCCCCACCCCACTCTGTTTCTATACCCATTCAGAGACTATAATCCTAAGTAAATCCAGCAGTAAGGAGACGCAGTACTGGCAGCGGTGCAATAACAAACTCACTCTAAGAAATAAAAGAATATGGAGAAAAATATCGCTTTGGGTACTCAACTGGTTGTAGAAAGACTGCCTATAAGAACCACAAGTGATGGAAAAAAAGGACACTACACACTAAAGAAGGAAAGGGAAGAAACTCAAATAAGGAGTGATTTCAAGGAAACTCATAAACTAGAATTAACATAGCAGAAAGCCAAATTCATAATGAAGTCATATTCAGGAAGTTATTGAAAAAAATCCAAATGTATAATGAAAGAACAAGAATATAAAAATGAAGAGCAAGAAAATGGCAAGTGGAGACTTAGATCATTGCTTCTGGTGTTAAATAACTAGAGTAAATGGAAGATGAGATAAAACAAAAATGATACTAAAAGAAAACCTGAAAAAAGACAAAAATGTAGAGCATGTTCCAGTTCCATTCACCAACACCTCCTGGTAAAATTTTACATACCATTTTCCCAAAAGGTATACCAACAAAGGATGACATATTGGAGTAGCCTTAGGTTTCTCTGTAACTACAAATTCCTGAGAATAAAGGCCCAACCAAACTGTGTGAAGAGGAAGACATTATAAATTTGGAACAAACTCAAGATACTATATAATCTATACAGACATCCTGAAAACATTATTTGAAAACATATTGCAACTTACCGGAAAAAAGCCAAATTCCTTAAAAATAATAGCATATTAGGACTAGCAGCATGAACTGAGACCAATTAAATTAGTTTAATTCAAATAATTATTGTTTACTTATAAAATGAACAGAAACATCTAGTGCTTTATTACTTTTTATTATTTTAATTATTTTTAGTATTTTAGACAGAATTTCACTATGTTGCCCAGGCTGGTCTTCAATTCCTGGCCTCCAGTAATCCTCCTGCCAAGTACGAGTACTTTTTTTAAAAAGACATACAATATTTAAATTTACAATACAGCCTAAAATTCCAGATATTGCCGGGCGTGGTGGCTCATGCCTCTAATCCCAGCACTTTGGGAGGCTGAGGCGGG